GTGTCATTGTCTTCCTAAACAGGGTAGGAGCAGAGCCAACACAGCCCTCCCATGTTCCAGTCCCTCCAGGATTTTACAGACTTTTTAGGGTGATTGTTGTGGCCTAAAAAGATTTCACAACAGCTTTCTAAAAAATTGTGATGTACGTTGCAATGTTTGTAGGCGAAAATTTGGAGTTGCAGTTTTTTTGTATAACTGATTAAAAATTGTGAGAATAAAATCGCACCGTTTGGAGGCTTCATTTGAGACGTTTGCATCAGTCATGTTTGCATGGTCTGCATCTTCCCAATTAGAAACAGGGAAGTGAGTTTGATGACGCATGGCTCAACGTTTTGCGGAGGATACAACAATGATTGGCCAAATTTGTGGAAAAGTTGTGGTCGCAGAGAATTCACAGGAGTCGGTTAAATTTGTGTTCAGTCGCAACATTGCAGCTTCCTGGAGCGAAGGATCTTCTTTAGTTTGCTAAAACTGCTCGATAGACTCATCTCTCTTAGAAAAGAGCAGAACAAAAAAAACAAAAAAACGAATGTTCCCAAATTCCTTGAATTACGCAGTATGTGCTCTTGTATTAATGCATACTTATGCACAGGAAGTAAGAGCATTCATGTGTGTCAGGCAGCAGGCTCGCAGCTGTGTTTTTGCATGTTTGCATGTAGTGTGTAATTGTGGCACAGTTGTAGTCCCGGTTGTTGGCAATAATAAACTGTATGTGATTGATAGTTTCAATAGTTTCAATATGTGGGAACTGTTGGGTCTTTGTAAATTATTTTATAAGGAGTACAGTCGAGACCTGCTCTATATGAAAAGTGTCCTGAGGTAACTGATTTTTGCCATACAGATAACTAAATAATAAAATCTCATCACACAACTTCTGATAGCTGAGCACATTTTGCTGCAGAGCACGTTTACCTCAATGTATGAAAAGTTGTTAGTTTCAGTTTGAGGTCAAACAGGTGCGTTTAGGAGCGCGATTCACCTGCGAATCCTTTCAAACTAATTCATCCTGATTCATCGAGAGTGGAAGAACCCATCAGGTGTGACTGAATAACGGACGAACAGATGGGTGTGATGAAGAGAGGAGGCAAAGGGCGACACGGCTCATCAATGAGTGATTGAGAAATTATGAGGCTTCGTAATGGCAACGTTACAAAAGACTGCACAAGAGGACGAGGCTACTAATGGATAAATATAGAATATACAGATAATGTGGGTATATTTGGCTATAAAGAGGACAGAATACAACACCAAAACAGGTACAAACACTCTCACTTTCACTTTGTGCCGTTTTCTCTTGATTTATCAACAACTCCACTGGAGGGAGAGAGGGCAGATGTCTCGTCCACTTTAGGTTAATTACTTTCACACCTCCAGTTTAACAGGAAACACCGTCAGAGGAGAAACATGGGAAGTCGGTGACAGAGAGGAGATGAGGAAGTAATGCAGGAGTGAACAGAAAGGGACGGGGTTAACAGGCTTGCCCATTTTCAAAGATACTTATAATTAGACTCACAGTAAGCAACAGCCAGCCTTGTGAATTTATGTGTGTGTGTGTGTGTGTGTGTGTTTCCACATGGCTTTCACCCTCCACTGCTGGCATTTCCACAGATCATTAAACACAGTGACTGTGCTGCTGTCTTTGGGGTCACCCGCAGTTGTCATTTTCATAACTAATTACACAGACCAAATACCAGAGGTGGAAAGTAACAAAGTGCATTTTATTGCAGAAATGACTGACGTCTATTACCCCCACATTTGATTGACAAATGACCTGGCAACAGACGTCAACAAATCAACTACTGAGTGTAGATTCTGAAGCCATTTGCGACTTTAGTACGATGAGGAAAAATGCTCTAACATTTATTATTGAAGTTGTTGTTCTCCAGCTCTCCGGAGATGTCTGTCCACTCATCAAATGATGATGATTTCAGCCATTTTTTAAAATTACAGTCTCTGACAGATTACCCAAAATGAATGTGGTGAAGCAGATTCAGTTCTGCTTGCATTATCAGTGTTAGGATGTGGTGGAAGATGTACAGTACAGTTTGGGTTTGCGGCGCAGGAGGGAGATTAGATGAGAGATCCAGGGAGCAGAGATGTCTGCTCAGTCTAAACAGAATATAAAACAAACTTTATGTTTCCATAATCTGTCAGTTAAACTACACAAGCACCATGGTGAGGTTCTGGTCTGGAAGTTCCGTTTGAATATCTCCCCTCTGTCCCTCCCTCCTCCTCATCCTCTCTGTTCCTCCGTCCACCTCTGCTTCTTCCTTATCACATAACATTGTTTGTTAAAGGGCGGATATTGTAGTATACATCCCAGTGGAACCTTTTCTCCTGTAATATTTATAACGATATTACAGCAGCAGCAATGTGCATGACAGACAGAAGACAAATGCTTTATTGAACCATAAACTCTGGAAATTGAGATGAGAGTTGTAGCCAGAGGAGGAATAAAATGCTGAGATATGGCCATAGAGGTGAAGAATACATAGGTTTATAATGGTGTTCAATCTAATTCTCCTCCTCGCATCTTGTCTGCCCCTCGGAAATGACAACACTTGGCCTCATAACTTGTTTCTGATGTTTATTATCGATCACATAAAAGTTAGAGGGGTAAATCCCTGTATAACTCTATACTCCCACGGCTCAAACAGGACAAAGTCTGTAGACATACCACTTAGGTTTGACTTGGTTTATCTGCCTCAGAAAGATAATCCAGCAAGTCAAATCTGTTGGCAGCTGACTCGTAGCTGCCCATCACAGCCACGAGAGTCGGCTCTGTCAAGGATGTGTTTGTCCTACTGAAAATGTAGGGCCAGCCCAAGACGATTTGGGACCTCAGCAAGATTTTTCTTTTTCTTTATGTCTTTATTAAACAAGGACCTTGCACAAAACCATCAATCTCAAAATGAGAAGAGATGATTTATGCCAAATTCAGCTAATTTCAATACGCAGTGTATCTATTTGAAAAGGATCTATACTTTATCTAAATATAGATCCTTTTCAAATAGATACACTTAGTTTAACTAAACTTAAACTAACCCTAAGTCTACGTCTCCATTGATATGGTGTAACTACAATAGCAGTGCTCTGCTTACATGGTGTGAATGCAAAATTATACTGGAGCAGAATCACAATGTGTATCAACAAAATCAACAGAGGAACCCAAACAGAGTCAATTTTTGCAGTTTAATTTGGGGATGCGCTGTTTGTTTTGCAGCCACATGCCTTTGGGCCAGTTCTGTTGTAATGTGCGTTGAGATGTTCATGCTTGTGTGAGCATTATGATGCTGATTACATAACAGTCTGTCACACAGACCACTGATCCTTACAGGATAACTGAGACCTAAAAGGCTTTGTGCTCAGGATACTTACCGTTAAGGAGACAAAAAGATCCAAACCATTAATACCTAATGAGAAGCAGCAGTCCATTCATCCACTGTATCATCCTGTCAGGGGTCACGAGCTGTGCTTCATTTAGCTCCTAATGAAAGATCTTCCTGTTGACACCTTTCTCAAAGTGTGAGTCGAAGAAAAGCCTTTTCAAACATGCACAGAGTGGCTTTTCATTACCTGGAGAGCCATTAGGAGCATTTACAACAACGGCTTAATAACGAGCTATTTTTCAATCGATGCAGCAGATGAAAACGTCATCAGCAGGAGCGGGGTTAGTGTATAAGCGATGATCAAGATGCAAGGCAAAAATGTTCTAAAAAGAAAAGTTCAAAGTCACATTTATCTAGCGAGATGTTTGCCTCATCACAACTTTGGCAGGAGAACCTTCAGCAGTGGCCAAAAGCTGTGTTTTATTATGAATGAGTGGTGGTGTGTCTCCACGCGCTGCCGTTTTAATTGACACAGGGCCGAGCAGCTTTGATGTACGAGGCGTTGCGGTGGCGGAGAGAGACGGGCTCCTCATTACCGCTCTCTCTCTTCTCCCCCCACCTCGCCACATCCCCCCTCGTTCAGAGCGACGGAGGCTGCGGGGAGAGCTTGTCAGCCATGTGAGGGGAGCAGCAGAGAGGAGAAGCGTGGGCAGAGAGCAGGGCTGAAGACGTCACCAAATCAAACGCCCCAGTCATTTTTCCAGGGCGGGGGAAATCCCTCCAAAAAATGACACCAGATGACTGATATCTATACAGATGAAACGGTTCTTCATTAGATTTGGGAATCAGCACTCATACATTAGGAAGTAATGTAGCATTCAGAGGTGTTCAAGGTCAATAAGCCGCTCATTGACAGAATTTTAAGAAAGATTCAGAAAGATTCAATGGTATACAAGTTTACAGATTTGTATATCCTATTATATCATATAAAAATAAAAATACAATCCGTCAAAAATTCAGATCGTGTTAAGAAATTTGGGTTTTAGGACTCAATTCTCGAAAGAATTGGCTTGATAAGGTGGAGATTTTTTGCGGTTGCAACACAAATTTTTATACAGTGATGTAACTGACACCTGACTGAAATACACAATTGATCATGAAGTCCCGCCCATTTTTGTTCTGTGCTCCAATAGTTGAAGAACCTCAGTCAACGTTCTCCTTTCCTGTACTTAGTTATGCTACGTGCTAGGCTAATCTATGTTGAAATAACAACCCCATTTTGAAGATGGTTTAAAGATATAAAAGCTATATCTAACTAACTATATAACTATATCACATAAGTTACAGTTACATCTGAAACACTACTAAATGTTAATGTTAGCAAAGGTTTTGCCAACATTAGATGTGGCTATATTGCTTGTGTCTTTAAAATGTGTGTGTCTTTTCAACATAGATGAGACTAGCACATAGCATAGCATATCTAAGTAGAGGCAACCGTGGCTTGCTCGACTGTTATTGAAGCCCAGAGCAAAACGGGGCAGGGTTTATTTGCCCTTATGTTCTGCAGAAACAAAAAGTGTGTTTAATACTGTATATTCTCAGGCTCTCGCTGCCCGTACTGTGAGCTGAAGAGATAAACGTGTGACGAATGTTGTCTTCTTCCTGCCTCAGGCTGTCCAACGGCGTGGGATGACATTCGTTGCTGGTATCGTGCTGAGGTGGGACAGGTGGTCAACGTCTCCTGTGCCAATGTGTCCCAGCTGTTTGCTAATAACCAAGGTAAATCACCTCAACTCTCCTTTCTCCAGTCTTCATGTATCAGATACATTTTTTTCTTAAAGGTTGGTTGGTGTTATACCAAAGTTTGCGCTGTAAATCACTGAATAAGTGGGTAAATGTATTAGTTTTGCTATCTTATATTAAGTTATTTATGTACTTTTTTGTACTTCTTTACTTTTTTACTTATATTTTGCAAGGTTACTTTTTCCTTTGAGGAATGTTATACATTGAAATTATTATTTGCTGTGCACTTTTTGATTTTATTTTTGGGACAGAAGAAATGCTTACATCAGCCCTTTTGGAGGCAGTGGAGAGAAACTGGGATCAATCCCACCAACGGTTCTAACTGATCCTCTTTAAATCCTCCTGCTTGTGCCTGTGGAGTAATTCTCCATTGATGGTGTCAGTCAGTACTCCGTCTGAAGGCCAGGTTGACTTTTGCTTAGAGAACAGACTTGGTGAAGAGGAAAGAGTGTAAATTCTCACAGTATAATGAACTTTTGCTTAGTTCATCGATCTTTCAGTTTACAGCTCAGCACAGTGACCAGGTTATATTTAGAAATCTCTTAGGGCCAGTGTTATGCTTTCACTGAGTGGTCTATAGGAGACTGGACGTTTTTCTTCATGGATCACATGGACTCGTCTCCTGTGTCTGAACTTGGCTGCTGAGAGCGCTGCTCTCCTGACTGTTTACATGACCCCCACCTTCTCCAGAGCCTTGTCTCATCCAGCTGGCTGGTCTAAAGAAAACAAAACATGCATAGAATCTCTCATGCATCATCAAATGTCTGACAGACGGATACAGATGCAACTGAGATGCTAAAAAAATCTGTTTATGGACAATTGGGAAGACAAACGATGACAGAAAAATCTGTGTTTGTCACAAACATACTGAAGAGGAGTGGAAGAAGAGGCTATAAAAACTTAAAGAGTCTCATCCATAGAACAAAATATATGATTGTACAGACAAAAACAAAAACGTACATAAAGTGTAGATAATGTTCAGTAAAATATGTATCATATAGAACACAGGAGCTCCATTAAAAGGGAAGATATAAAACATTTCATTTAAACCCTCATTGAGTGATGGGGTCAGTATGGGATCAAGGAGGGATAAAAACTACTTTTGGAAACTGAGTGAGGCTTTGTGGACTGGTAATCTTAGATGCTCACATCTGAGAAGGAATGAGTCTGTATACATTTAATCCTAAAGAGTTTAGCAAGTTCTTGTTAGGTGGGTTGGTAGGTAGGTCCACCACTTTGATCCACACTAAAATATCTCATCAACTATTGATGATTAAATCTAGCTCAATATTAGCTGTAATATCTTATTAAGACATATATTTTCTTAAAACCAGATCACTTTTCTAATAAAAAAATCTTTTTTACTTTCTGGAGATTCCTTTCTTGCAGGGTGTTGTCCAGAGTCTGCACATGGTATTTTATTTTGAAAATTGTCCAGATTCCCTGCGGCATTTCTGTGAATGAAAAACTGTTTGATGGTGTGTAAAACTGACTTCTGACAATCACTAAAGTGAAGTTTTTATGCAACTAATTTGAAACGCAACTAATTTAATGCAGACTGGATTACATTTTACAAAAGTCTTTAAACTTTGCACACCATCCATCCACCCCGACCACCTCCATGTGACTCTGATGTGTTTCGTAAAGCGCTTCAATCAACATTTTTTGGTTTGGTTCCCTCTGAACCCAATCTAGGAAGTGATGTTTGTTAGCACATTGTAATATTTAAAATAATTTTGTGCGATATAAACCTAATTTCTTGGATAAATATTGAAGCCAGTATCGGTCAGGCTCCAGCATCTATAGACTGCACTCTTACCCTGTGTTGCAACACTGCGGGTGATGTCCAGACTCCTCCAGTGTGTCAGTCAGTGTTGCTGAATTGCTTTTCACAGAAGAGTCGGCAGCAGCAGGGAGCAGAAGAAGAAGAAGAAGAAGAAGAAGATATACTTTATTGATCCCCTAGGGGGAA